ACTGGCACAGGTTGCCCAGGGAAGCTGTGGATGCCCCCTCCCTGGCAGTGTTCAAAGTCAGGTTGGACGGGGCTTTGGGCAACCTGGGCTGGTGGGAGGTGTCCCTGCCCATGGCAGGGGTTGGACTGGATGAGCTTTAAGGTCCCTTCCAACCCAAACCATTCTGTGATTCTGTGACTTGCGCTTTTTCTCACCTCTGAAGAGTTGTTTCCTTACAACCCAGGCTGATGCCAGCTCACATGTGCTTGTCTGGCTGTCCATCACCGCTGCTCCTGCTCTCCCGATAGCTTCTGAGCTCATCCACCAAATTCAGCCGAGTTTGACACAAAGGTGGAAATCTGTGAGATTCAAAGTACCTTCAGCAGGCAGCCTGATGGAGGAAAAAGCCCTATTTGTATAGCCAGGAAAGGAAAGGTTTCTGCAGGAGTTTCATCTGCCAAAACATGACACAACATAACATCAGTCGCAAATTCACAGAAAATCAAACTGTTTTAATAAACTCAGCTACTCCTGAATATTCCCAAAACATACGAGAAATATAAATGTTAAAAATAAAGCAATTAATTGCAAAATATTGAGCCAAGAAAACTTTATGGTTATTTATTTTCATAAATCAAAGGAAGAAAGCATTAAATACAGACAACTGTCCAACCTTCATTCTCTCATTTATACACTTTGAAACACAGGCATTAGTTACGGATGTGGTTACCACTTCTCTAATGCTGGAATAAAATTAACATTTTAACATATGGTTGCATATCATTTTATCATTCCCTGTAGCACTATGATAATATTTAACAAATTATTTGGGAAAGTGTAATAACTTGTTTGTAGGAAGTGTGCTCTATTTCTATTAAGTTTATTAAGCGTAATGGTGAGAAGATGGTCAGGCATACAGGGCCAGAGGGTGGAACTGATGGATTATCGAGAATATTTTGTTAACTGGAGTTGTTTACAGGGCTGTTGCTTCAGACAGGTCACACATAGCATGTGGATGCTGCTTCATCCTAGGACAGGTCAGGTTTACGTTTGTGCAGTTGTGATTTTTAAGATTTTTTACAACTTTCAAAGCAGGGAGTTGTTATACTGTGCACACTTCCAGTAAGGAAAGAGAGATTGAAATGAATTTTGGGGAAATTCCTGTTTATGACTACTTGATGTGGCATTTATGAATGGGTTTTGCTTTGCCTTTTTTTTTTAATAAGATTACAGTCCAGTCATGTGGAAAAAATAGATTGTCTATAAGGGACCATCACGGAAACAACTATAATTGTAATTGTAAAAAATTGTTAACGCTTTTGTTATGACTCTTATCATCTTTACGTGTAAGTTTCTTTATAGGTCTGTGATTTACCATGCTTATCTACTCTGAGTAGTGTTCTGTAACTTTACAGTTTTAGTGTTTTGCAAATAGATTCGTTGGTTTCAGATGAAACCAAAGTGATGACGTGGGGAATCCAAGTGGCAAAACCTGGAGCCTGCCGGTCAGGGGCATCCCCGTCTCCTTGGGAGAGGTGGGAACCACTGGTACGTGTCCAAGGGTATAGGGAGAGGCTGAAATAAGCTCTGCTCCACTTCAGGCCTCAACATCTGTCTTAGGAGGCTTCTCACAGATAGGAAGTGCAGATTTTTACATCATAAACTACTTTTTGGGGGGTACTTGATTAGCCCATTCATCGTTTAAAAAGGAAAGCTGACTCTTTGCTGGGACATAGTAGCTTGAGCTGTTTGGTTTTCTGTCTGTGCCCCATTTTACTTTCTTTTTTTGGTCCATTTTTAAATTACGTGGTTATTATCTGTGAAAATCATCAGCAGTGGAAGAGCTGATAACAAAATACTCTCATTGGGCTCTGGAGCTAATAGCCAAATGCGATAACCAGAGAGCAAGAAGTTCAGTCTGTTCTTGGTCCTGCAGATTCAGAGGGTGTAACACCAGGTACCCTCCGCTCGTGTCGGGAAGGATGCTGCTGTCGCTGGCCAGTTTCACTTTAAAAGCTGTAAAAAGTCGTAGTTGGGAGAGGGGGGATGTAGGCTTGCACTGAAGTCTAAGTCAAGCCTATAGCCTGGATGTTTTTAAAGCCCTTCCTTGCAAAACAGAAGACATATTTAAAATAAACACCAGCAAACAAAACAACAAGAAAACCAAACAGAAACCACCACCGCCAACATAGCCCAGCAGGAAAATCCCTAAAAACAAACAAGTTGACAAAGGAGGAATCTCCCTCTTTTAAGTATGGCGCTCCCTAAACACAAAGACATCCTTAATGTAGGATACAAGTTCAGGGTTTGCTGTAACGTAAATGTAGGGTTTTTTCTGTTTGGAGGTAAATATGCTCATGTCCCTGTATAAAGAGGCTTCTGTATGAAAGAACAAGGGACCAGAATCGTGGCTGAATAAGCTCAATTAACATTAATATTTTATGTAATTGGGTAAGGGAAATTCAATCTTTCCAACAATGTGTCACCCGACAAGCACGCAGTCACCACACCTGACAGGGGGAGGTGGTTGACAAGCTTTTTTTGGGTGTTCAGATACATTTTGCTATTGAATAGAAATCTGAATTGCCAACATAAAGCTCTGAGAACCCGGCACACTGTTAAATTGTACAACGGGAAGGGATTGCTTCATGCTCCAGTGTTGTGGGAGCACCCGGAGCTTGGCTATGGGCAGATACAGCCCCGTACAGGAGAAAGGCAGCCTCAGTGTGCGAGTCCAGTGGTTCTCTGCAGCCTCTTGAGGTTGGGAACATCAAACAGTCAACCCGTGGTTGAGTCGGGGCTGAAAAGCGTTATTTGAAAGGACTTGGTGCTGGGATTTGTTTATTAAATCGCACCCACACGCACAGATCTGATTGCAGTCCAGCGAAACAAATACACCGCAGAACTTCCTTGCAAAGGGTTTTCCTCCGTGCTTCTGCTGGAGCGTAGTTGCACTCTCACTTTTCCAAAAATAGGTTTCTTTTGGGAAGCATGAATGTAAATTGAATAGAGGATACCAAGTATTAATGTATTAAGTATACTATAAAGGAAGGTTGATTCATCAATGTCTTGATCTTCGTTATTCCGTTTGCTTGGAATATTTGGTTTTTCTATTACCAGGAAAAAAAAAAATAGCATCTGCTTATTTCAGAAGGGGCTATGAACACTTCCTTATTACTAGTGAAATGTAATGTATGCTTTAACGAGCAAAATAGCTACTATCTGCCCAAAACACATATATTCATTGAGCAATCAGCAGTTTCATATGTAAAATTAATACTTAAATGGTGCCAGGAGTATTAAAGTATGTACTTATTATTATTTAAATGCCCTGCATTTATTTGGAACAGTCACATTTTTCTTGTATATATTTTCATTTTGTTTTCATAATCTGCATTTTTAAGACATCCAGCAGTTAGGCTGTATACAGTTATACATGTATTAGCTGCTTTTTAATTTATTCCTCTATAATCCAGTATTATTAAATTCTGTGGGCTAAAGAGCTGATCCTGTTCATTAAAATCAATAGATGCAGTGTTGCTCTGTGTGTGTGGTGTGATGCTTTTTGTGGTTTTTTTCTTTGTAGGATCTACCCTTTGGGAAATAGCAAACTGATATAAAAAGGGTCTGATCCTTCAGGCTTTACTTGCGAAAATATCCACTGATGTCAATGCCTGAATAGGATCAGTCTCTTAAAAGGACAGTTTACTTGAAACTGCTCTAGCTATTATTATTATTTCCTTCTGCAGAAAAATAATCTTACTCATCAAAGCTTTGGAAACGGCATCAAGAAAGCCAAGTTCAGCAG